CTAATGATGTCAGCATGATAAAAAGTAAGTCTAAGGAACAATCACTCAAATACCAAATGTGCTTCACATAGAAACAGCAGGTTTAGCAGCATGAAGTGTAAAGTTCAAGTAACAAGGCTTTGCATAAATGTCAAAAACAAAGCCTGTACACATTTATAACACTTCTGAAGATATTTGAATACATCCATGGTTCAAAATCAAATACTGGTCCAGTATTGGGCTTTGACAATGAAGATAATAACTCCCATGATCCCATTCTGTTGATATCATCAAACTACATTTTTGTTTTTGTCTATTTAAAGAGACACCTAGTGGCAAAAATCACATTGTGCCTTCAACTAAAACTCAATGTATTAAAAGTTCAATACACCAATATAAAAGTGACATTAGGATAACATGGTGTGTTTAATACTGTGAGCATTGTCTCTACAAAATATGAACACACTGGACAAGGTTTTTAAATGAGGCAACAAGATAACTGGGAAGCAAATGTGCAGCATTTCTTAACTGACAGACCAGTACACACTGAATTTATCCAATAAGATTTCAGCAGACCCTCTGCACCCTCTTTGGTTGGAGTTTGAACTCTTGACTTCTGGGTGCTGGTACAGAATGACCAGGATGAGGACTAAAAGAGGCTTTACATCTTTCCACGCAGCATTCAGCTGCTCAGTAAGCTCTGATCGCATATGAACGTGGCACTCTGCACCACTGTAAACCCTCATTTAATCATGTGATGCTTTAATGATGTGTTTTAATTTATCTTTTAATGTTTTAGTTTTTTATGTGCTGTCCTGTATATGCTTGTTTGTGTATTGTGTTTGTATGCTCTCTGTGCAAGGCAAATTCCCCCTAAGGGCATAAAGGGTTTTCATTCAAATATTCAAATGATGTGTAAATATTAGTTCATATTGGAGTTATAAAAGGCAGTAACACATGGTGTGTTCCTCCTCAGCTGCTCACATCGGTGTTGGAATCAGCGGTCAGGAGGGGATGCAGGCTGTTCTAGCATCAGATTTCTCCTTCGCTCAGTTTCGGTACCTGCGGCGCCTCCTGCTGGTGCACGGCCGCTGGTCATACCTTCGCATGTGTAACTTCCTGAGCTATTTTTTCTATAAGAACTTTGCCTTCACGTTGGTACACTTCTGGTACGGTTTCTTCTGTGGTTTCTCAGCTCAGGTAAGTAAACTGATCATTTTGGTATTTTAATAAACTGGCCTATCTAACCTCAAACCATCCTTTGAATAGTCTGGATTTGGAAACACAAACTAATGCACACAACTGTCCTCTGTCCACAGACTGTTTATGACCAGTGGTTCATTACGCTCTTCAATATAGTCTACACATCTCTACCAGTCCTTGCGATGGGACTTTTTGATCAGGTACCACTCTTAAATATGCAACATTAATATAGCAGTGAATAGAAACTTTAAGGACTGTCGATGTAGGATTCAATGCTGTGATTTTTTCACCAACAATGGATTCCTCCTTATCTGAGGTTTTCAGGTTAAAGCTCCTGTGAACTACATAAGCAAAAAAGACCATCAGGAACGAGACTGAATATTTTTATACAGTTGCAGGAAAACGTATGTGAACCCTTTGGAATGTCTTAGTTTTCTGATTAAATTGGTCATAAAATGTGTCCTGATCGTCATCTAAGTCTCTTAAGTCTGCTTAAACTAATACCACACAAACAATTATATGTTTTCATGTTTTTATTGAACACAACATGTAAACATTCACAGTGCAGGGTGGAAAAAGTATGCGTGCTCAGTTTACAAACAGGCGAGAGAGAGAGAGAGAGAGAGAAAGAAAAAGAGACGCGCAGTCGAGTCCGTCGCACATCAGAGAATAACACAGAGCATGACAGCTACTTTACTGACTTTGCAGCTTATTTTAAGCCATTTTAATCAGACACAGCCAAAAATAAATTAAAAAATAAAATAGATGCGCGGCCGAGTCCGAAGTGTGCCCAAAGCCAAGGAAGTGTACCGTGCCTGAGCACCCTACGGAGCGGTCACACTGGTCAAACGAACTGGACTTTAGCGTTGAAGCGTGCTTGGGCACGGTACGGATGGCCAGTGTGACCGTGCCCTAAGAGCCCTCTGTGATAACAGGATGAACGTTTTAGACACTAGAGGAAACTCTTTTGTGTTCACATGAAATCTGGGTTATTATCCCTAAGCTTGTTTTCTTGAGATAAATCAACTTTATTATTATTGTGAGAAACTAGCATTTAAAACATTATGCAAGCAGGGTCCTTCTTGACCTCCGTACTAACCTCATCAGTACTCATTTCATATTTCATTGTAACTTGTTCATCTATCACTTTGAAATCATCACCTGCCACACAACTGCGATCAAATCATCCCTCCATACTTCACCCTCTCTGCTTCATGAATAGCTACCACACCACATAGCACTCATGATATCTGTGTTTCAACAGGACGTCAATGACCAGAACAGCCTTCGTTACCCGAGCCTGTACAAACCCGGCCAGCAAAATCTTCTGTTCAACAAATCACAGTTTTTCCTGTGCACACTTCAGGGATTAGGCACATCCTTCCTGCTTTTCTTTATTCCCTATGGAGCATTATCTGTCATGGTCAAAGAAGATGGCTCCCATTTTTCTGACCAACAAACATTTGCTGTCACAGTAGCAACATCCTTGGTTATCGTGGTAAGCGTTCAGGTAAGAGATGTACAAAAACAGCCATGTTGATTGGAAAAGATGAATGCTACACCCATGCTAATGATGCCTGCATCTGTTCATAGATTGGACTTGATGCACATTACTGGACAGTTGTCAATCATCTCTTCATATGGGGCAGTCTGATAGTGTACTTTGCCATATTATTTGCAATGCAAAGTAACGGCATGTTTGGGATCTTTCCAAGTAATTTCCCATTTGTTGGTAAGTTTTTCCTCAGATGTGTACACATGAACAGCTGTGATGCGTGGAAATGAGTCTGAACACTTTCCTCTCAGGAACAGCTCGTAACTGTCTGGCAGAGCAGAGTGTGTGGTTGGTCATTCTGCTCACCTCTGTGGTGTGTGTGGTGCCCGGGTTAGTCGTCAGCTTCCTGAAAGTGGACCACTTCCCAACCCTGACAGATAAGGTACAATAAGTCGATGCATGGACACCAATTGAAATGTATAAACATGAACCATTTTACTCTTCCTGCTGTGTTTCAATAGTGGTAAGAAAACCAAGTGCAATCTTCACATATGGTACATCACATACAACTTTGAGATAGCTGTATTTATATGCTATATTTTTTTTTACTTTTATTCCATTTCATTTCAACAGGAATAGCACTTTTCTCCTCAAATCTAAAAAAATGTAGAAAGACATGGCAAAGCTTCAACCAGCAGTTCCAGTTTTTTAAGACCGTTTTGTCTTTACAAAAAAAATTAAGATGATTTTTACCTCAAACCCTCTCATATGGTTTCATTGAAATAACTTTATAGGACCTATAAGCTGTCAAATTTTTTAAAATATAAAGTGAAGTAGGTCTTTGTAGCAGAGCTTTCATTTTATTTGAAATGTTGAACCACTAAACATCTCATGACCCCCTCACATTTATGTTCTTCCCTTGAAGGGGGCCTGACCTTTAGGTTGGGAACCATTGAACTAACTGGATTCTTGTCGCACCGTGACCAGCTCCTAAATGAAAATACTACTTTAATACGTCTGTAGTAGCCATTAAATAAAGTCCCATTGTATAATATATCAGGGGCAGAGAGAAAAAGTACTTTTACTCTACACACAATTTGCTCATATGTTTACTCTTAAGTTAAGTAAGATTCTAAACATAAAACATTTACTTCAAACGGAGTATGCTTACATTGTGGTATTAGGATCCACTTCCTCTGCTGTGTTTCTGCAGGTCCGACGTCTTCAACAGTATAGAAAGAAGGAAGGACCTCAGAAGAACCTGAAGCGAGTAAGCAGGACAAGCTCCCGTCGCTCTGCATATGCTTTCTCCCACCAGCAGGGCTACGGAGAGCTGATCACCTCAGGCAAAAACATGAAAGTGGGATCTGTGTTTTCTGCTCGTTCCCCTGGAAGAACACCAAACCGCTTTGTCTGGATAGAAAACCTGTTGAAGAAGAAGAATGAAGTTTCCTGCATTCTGATGAAAACATAGAAACACAGACTGCACAGGTTGAACAGCACTTAGGATAATGTTTTTAAATTATTTTTAATTAATTTTATTACAAAGTTTGAGTAAAGAGTAAATCCTACAACACAGGGAAACTTCATTTTTTTATACGTATGAATCTTGTGGACTCTGTTGAATGTTTAAAGCCAGTCAAAACATATCAAGAGTAATCTTTTCCATAAAAAAATCAGCCAATTGAAAAAAATGATTTAAGAAAATGTTTGAATTTTTATTGTGTAGGACGTTTTTTGAATGTAGAAACTCAGCTCGACAAAACAGGTGGATTTAAGGAAAATATATTATGTATGACTTACCAAAGTTCAAGAAAGATTTATCTCCCGATTCAATTGATCCAATTTGAACTTTATAACTATTTTAAGGGCATTTCCTTTCTAAATTCTTGAGAAACTTTGGACATTTCAGTGCCTAAAGGGAACCTGAAACGTAGGCACTGTAATGTCACAAACAAACTGCTGTATATGTATTAAAAAGATTAAAAAGAAAAAGGAGCAGTGTATAGATGCACAACTCAATGAGCTATATATACATTTTACTGACTCAATATTTTACAAGTTTTCACTTGAACAAACCTTAAACCTCAAAGTTTAACTCACTCTTTGTAACGGTCATTCTTGGATCTGTTTTCTAAGTAGCACACCTTAAATGTTGCATATTATTTTTATTTGAAGTTCCACTTTTTCCCCCACTTGTGTTTAAAAAAGCAACGTGTGAAGCTGACCTGCGTGGCTCTTCTCAGATATCCTGTAGGAAATGTTTTTGTTTATTACTCACATTGTGCAGTTTCTGAAAAACATGAACACTCATCAAACACCAAACATTTCAGAAGAGGTAATTTATTGACCATGGAGTTCATCAGCAATGGTGATATGAAGGTCCCTGAAGAGATTGAAATGCAAAGTGCTGCTCTCTAATGACATGAACATTGATCCTTGCCCATAACTAACACAACAGTTTTTTTTAAATCTGTTACACTGTGAATAAGATATACAAAAACCCAACATTCTCAATTAAAAAAAACAAACAAACATAAGAACTGTTCCCTTTGTATAAAAGTGAATCACTGTTGATAATTTTTGGTCCCTTATGTAATCATTTTATGATTAAGAATAATCTTGAAAGAGGAAAATGTAAACACAGACACTTTACTTTTGGATTACTTTGTCATTACAAGTTCCTTCTGCCTCAAATGTGCAAATAGTCGTGTATTTAATGGAAGATACAAAAATGCTTTCACTCCTCGAGGTAAATTGCAGCACCTCCGCCCGGCTTTGTCACAAACAGACTCTGTTTCTCCACTGCTGCTCTGCGTGGATCAGGAAGGTAGTAGGCTTCCCTCACTGCTTGGAGGAAAGAGTCCACCTTCTCACAGGGAACCATGGAAACGGCACAGCCACCCCATCCTGCTCCTGTCAGCCGGGAGCCCACAGCCCCCGACTTCCTGTAATCAAAAGAAACGGAGAAAATAATCAGGCACGACCAAGAAGCAACCACCGGTGTTAAAACATGAAGCCAATGCTGAAGTGCAATAAAACTGCAGTTCCTCGAGTGTCCACTTGAAGGCTGGCGCAAAAGCCAAGGAGGAGAGACCTTTTTGTACTCACAGACAGACGTCCACCAGTTGATCCAGTTCAGTGCAGCTACACTCATACAGATCTCTGCAGCTTGCGTGGCTCTGGTTCATCAGTTCTCCCAGCAGACGTACAGATTCGGCAGGTTCAGAGTCGCACACGCTCTTAAACCGAAGCACCCGTGCAGCTTCACCGTACACATGCTTGGCTCTCTGGTGAAGCTTGAAATGTGTGACTGAGAGAAAAAAGAAGAAATGACAAATGAGCTTTAAAAAAATATGATTAGTAGTCTGAAACTTAAGATATCGAATCTACAATAATTAAAAAATTAGAACATACAAAATAAAATCCTCATATCACAATAGTTCATATTATTTTAACTTATTAACAACAAATCAGTTAACTAAACTGTCCTCGTTCATCCTTTCAATAGACAGAATGATTTTTCCTCATCAGTGATAATTGGCTATGTTACGTTGCTCACCATGCTGAGTGTTAGCGCTCAGCAGCTCTTTGGAGAACTGCTCGGAGGTGACGCCCAGCACCCTGCAGATCTCCTCTCGGCTGTACGGCTCAGGATGTAACACCTCCTCCACCAGAGCCAGCATCTCTTCCAGGGAGGCCTTCAGCTCCATCTGGACCTGGGCCAGCTTCAGCAGCCGACTGGAGTCCAGACCCCGTGCCTGGGCCAGCATCTGAGTTCACATATACAAAGACATTTTATACTTTTTAACCCCAAACACATGCTATTTGATGTTCACAAGGACACATGAGGTTTTAAACACTCCTAACTTTAACTTTAGCCATACACAGATTGTCTGAAGACTAGAGTTTACCCTGAAGGAAAAGAAGTGTTTTAAATGTGTCCTGACAGCAAACAAATCCATAAATATTTAAGCGCAGAGACAAACTGAAAAGCTACAATATTAAAGTTTCCTCCGAAATAATATTTGTCCTGTTCCATATAACATTGTTTGTCTCTGCATGGAAACCGGCTGAGAACCACTGGACAGGCAGGATCAAGGTACCTTTGTGGCAATTCGGCACTCCACCACACGGATGTTGAAGTCAGAAGAAGCAGCTTTGTTCATCTCCAAGCAGCAGTTGGAGATCACAAACACGGCCCCGTCCGGGAGTTTCACATCAGTGGCTCGCAGAGGCTGAAACTCAATCAGCTTTGCCTGACAGACAATTTGAAAATACAAAACTCTTAAAAATGATTCACTGTCGACCACATGGAGCATTTTAACAACAACAAACTTGATGATAAAAAAGATTTAGCTCATTATTTAAATATCAGGGACTTATGACACTTAGGAAGCGCGTCTTTCTTTCTACATTCTTCAGACATTTACTTGGTAAATAAATAGTTTGTATAAAAAATTAGCCTAAGTAACAAAACCGGTTTTACTTCATTTGCTAAAAGAAATGCCACCTACTGTTCCTGTCTCTGCCAGGAATGAGATGGATTGATCCATGCCGCCTCCCTCTGTGCCAATGTAGCGCTCACTTTTGGCACACATCTCAGCCAACACCACCTGGGGGATTAAAGGGAAAAAGAATTTTAAAAAACCCACAACAAATACTCGTTCATATTCACAACGTGGAAAAAAGCTTATACTTGCTTGTAAAATAGTTTGTTCCATTGTAAAGTTGATTTTTTTTTTGCATGAAAAAAGCATTTAACACATATTCAGTACAGATAATAACTTGTAAATTTTACCTTGGAGAGGGACTTCTGATTTGCCTCCATTGTTACGAGCCCTGCACAACAGACTAAGGCACTTGAACTCGACAGGCCTGAGCTGGGTGGAATGGTTCCATCGACAACGCATGACATCCCTGCTAACTGAGCGATCTCAAACTCCTCCTGTAAAAACACAGAAGAAAGGTTTACATTGTTTGGGGGTTGCATCACTTTGCCAAAGTACTGCATGCTTAATTTGACCCCCTTTTTGCCATTCATGAAATAGAAAAAAAATAAAAAGTCTTACCTGGATACCTTTTACCCCACAGAGAAAATAATAATACCACTTTGGATTTTCTCTGTCTATAGCAATATCATTGAACAGGACACAGTGAAATCCCTGCAATGTGAAAAAAAAACAACATGATGATACTGTGTGGGGTTTAAAGCCCTAATTGAATAACTAAAGAACTATTTTAATATCTTACTTGTATTGAGGATTCGTGTTGGCCAGTGTGATAGTCCCTGAATTGTTCACAGATACAGCTGCAAGGATATTCTGTTCGATAGCCATCGGAAGTACTGAATAGCCACAATAATCAATATGTTCTCCTGTTAAATAACACATTTTGGGGGAAAAAAGAAAAAGATATATGACAAGTATAACACTAAAGATGAGACTTCATGAAGGGTGCAGACAGGAATCATGATCCTGAATATTATGCTTTAAGCAAATCAACTCAAAAATGTGATGAAATTATAAATACATCAATCTTTGCAACACAAGGATCCAGAAATATTTTGTGCTTGGAGGGGAATGGTTTCTTGAGCAAATACAGCAACGTCAGCACAAATGCTTAAATTGACACACAATTAAAGCCAACTGGGACAAGAAGTTACCTATTAGATTTACCCGTCCCGGTGCACATGCATAGAAGAGAGGAGCTTCTCCATACTTTGTTTCAAATGCATTTTTCAAGTTTTGTAGCCTGTAAAAAAAAAAAAAAAGAGAGAATCAAGAAATAAAGTCTGCATACAATTCCTCCACAGTTGTCATCGCTCTATCTCAGTGACAATTAGATTGTTTTACTGCAACTCACCTTTCACTGGCAGTTATTCCAACCCTCAATTTAGGTGGGTTTGTAGCCATTTCTTCTTTTTCCAAAACGGCTTTTAAAAAAACAAAAAAACAACTCAAATCAAGCTTTGAATGTTCCTTGTTGTCGTCCAGGAGAGCTCAATGCGTTTTCATGTCCTGTCAGCTGACTGTCACAAGAGGACTTCCGGATGCGAAAAAAGCGCCGAGCTGACGTCAGTTCTTCAACATGACTTCAGCTCAGTTGGACGTGTTGATTATGTGTTTTTGAGAATTGAGTCTAATCTTAGAAGCTGCAGCGACAACAACAACAACAAAAAAAATCTAGGAAGTATCCCGAGGGGCGTGGCTCAGTGGTAAAACGTAAGCGGAAGGAGTGCGACGTAATGACATCACAGCATTCTCTTATCATAATTACATTATCAACAACTGCCGTAATCATTTTAATTATTACTTTCACGTCAGTATTTTAACATGGAGGAGGATTGTTTTCAAGACGAAGGTGTTGAGCTTTGACAGCAAACAAGACACAGAGGGTACAGTTTAATATTAACTGCATTATGCATTTTCAGTTTGCAAACAAAGAACCATTTAGAAATATGACGGATATGAGTTATTTTTGCAAGAGGACACAAAAATGTCCTTGAAAAAAATCACTTGATTCTTCCAGAAGAGTCACAAAACTCTATGTACAAAATACGGTCATGAAATGCTTAAGAAAATATTGTCAAAAGTGGAATCATGCAAACAATATTTATCTTTTCATCACAAAGAAGTCCATCTCCATTTCCAGAGACACTAAATTCAATATTTTATAATATCCCCCCCTGCACACAGAGCATGCTTACCCTTTTTTTTTTTAATTTTAAGTTACGTAGGGATTATGCACTGACGCAAAAAAAAAATCATTAGTATGAAACAAAAACAAAATTAAGACCAAACGCTTAATCCTAGATTATTTTTCTGTTAAATACCAAAACAATGAAAAAAAAATGCTTTTAAGTCAAGCTTTGTTTCTTCGTTTGAGTTTATCTATTACAAATGTCGCTTTTCTTTTATACGATCTTGCTTGAAGAAATACTTTTTAGTGCATCAGGTATGAGAACAGGAAATGTCCGTTAAAGCTTCAGGAGGAACGCTTCTTCGTCTCCATGGTAACACTGCTGAGGCTGCACTGTTTTACCTGCTGTGTTCAGGGGGGCGGTGCAATAATGGATGAAGTACAACTGATGTCAAATATTAAGTGTGTCAGTTTGAGGTCCCTAGTCCAGGGGTGTCCAAACTGCGGCCCGAGGGCCATTTGCGGACCTTGAGGGGATTTTTTGGGGGGAGATTTTGGCCCGAGGTCTTGATTAAGATCGGCACATTGTCTTTGATTTTCATGTTAACAAGGGCTGAACAATATTCCTAAAATAGAAAATGTTCAGTAACATCTATGTTGTTTTTTTTTTTGTTTGTTTTTTTTAAATCTACAGCTTTTACTATTTTCCACATTTTTTTGTAAAAAAGACTGTTGTTTAACCATTTAATGACCTGAGCTAAATGCAGAAAGCTTTTCCAAAAAAAAAAAAAAAAAATGAACCACGTTACAGGCTTGATTCTAAGAAAAAAATAAATAATAAAGTAGAAGGAAGAAATCAAAATATTTGATTTCCTTTTATTAAAGTGTTTTTTAGCGAGCCTTTTGATTCTGATCTCCTTACTATTTTTTAAAATATATTTTAAACTATATTTTAATTATACTATATATTTTATTTTTGATTCTAACACGACAATTTTGGCCCGCAAGAAGTTTTGACACCACTGCACTAGTCAGTAAATGAAGCCACAGTGAGTGAAACCTTTAATGTGTTTATTATGTTTTGTTTCCGCTGCGGTGGTTTGGCGCTGAGAATGCGCGCGACTTTTCAAAGTGGGCGAGTCTCTTCTTAAAGAGGACTTCCAGCCGGCTAGCCGGAGCTAGCGTTAGCTTCGTACTGCCGGGGCCAACTTACCTCCAAAGTTACATTGAACTGTTCAATTTGGTAACGAATCTTCAACACTGATCGAAACAGTTTCTTTTTAAAGCAATAGACTTTTCTTATTGAGCCCGCTGTAGTCAAGGCAAGCCGGCATGAGCGCCCCTGGTTACCTAAAGTTAGCTAGCATCGCTGCTTTGTAAACAGTGATATGGATAATAACGCCACCCAGATAAAGGAATAACAACTCTTCAATAGAGACGCCAAGTCCATTAATACCAGCGGGTAAGTGACCGTGTTTCTGACTGGTTCATACCAGGGTGGGAAACGTACTTGTAACTTTACAGGACTTTGACCATAATGATGATAATCATGCTCAACATTTCTCTTTTTCCTCTTCTCAGCAGGCAGCCTGCACAAACAGGGTTTGCATCATGTCCATTGATTTTGACAGTGCTGCTCTTCAAACCCAGCATGAGGAAGAGGAATATGACCAGGAGGACTATGCAAGAGAGCAAGAGGTAATAGAATATAATTACTTTATTGATGCCAAACTGGGAAATTGTGGTGTTACAGCAGCAGGTTGTACAAACACACAATATGAGTAAAAAAACACAATGTTAGCAAATCTAAACATAATATAATATTAAATACAAAGTAAATAAGTACTAAAAATATCAAAACTAAGAATGTGAATATATACAACCAGGATTTAACTAAGCATTACTAGTCTTAAATCGGAAGATTAAATATGGAAGATTAAATGTAAATGTGCAAAAACAGAGTTGTAAATTAAATATGAAAGATTAGATGTCAATGTGCAAAAACAGAGCTGTAAATGGACAGTATTGACATAAGTTAAAGTGCATGAGTGTAGACATATAACAAGCAGAAATCATCGCTATGGCATTGTGAAGTTGTTGAAAAATCGTCTATGTAGAGGTTATCAGTGTCAGTAATTGTTTGTTTACTAAACTGCAACTTTTTACAGTTTACAGATGACAGCCAGTTCATACTATTTTATCAAACCATCACCTGTAAAATATATATAGTGCTAAGTGCTTAAGAGATGTCTTGCCACTAAATCACACAGAGATAAAACGGTTAAAGTGTGTTGATTTATGAAGTAAATAACCATGTTGATTGACCCATATATAGGTCAGTGTTTTTCATTAAGTTCTCACATTACCTTCTGCTTCATCTTGTATGTTTCTTGGATGTTAGTGTTGTGTTGTTTTGTTTGAGGTTTGAATTGTTGAAGTTTCACAATCACTTTCAGCTTCACAGCTCCACATTCAAGCTGTGTCATAACTCACCTACAATCTGTTACGCCATAAATCTGAGCTATTATTGGCTCAAGGTAAAGGCCTCCTTCCAGGTGTGTCACACTGAAACGGTGGTTTCCCTAGTTTCTCTCCATTTAGGTTACCTTGTTTCTCTGTTGCTTCACTTGTACTGGTTAGAGCGAGCATGAAGGAACTGTTTGTGAATATTTTTTGGGTTTTGAGAATCAGCTGATTTGGACTTAATGGAATATTTATCCTGATGATTCTTGTTTTTGTTTTGGTATAGCCTATGAATTGAATGTGAGCTGGTTGAGTGAAAAATGTGTGTCACAACACCAGTAATCGGAATGTTTCTGCTCCAGTTAACCTTGCTATATGTTTTGTCTAAACAATGGAGTTCACTGCGAGCAAAGCACAGCAGCACTGCTGGGAGCCAACAACATGCCAGGCACGTTTTGGATGTTTCACATGGAAGGTCTTCTCTACAGAAAGATTACTATTGGAGGTTGTCATGTAGCTACTAGCTTCACAGCTGAAGAAGTGCCTCTTAAATGTTAAATGTGTAAGAAGGATAACATGGGTCTTTCGGTTGTGGACACTACGGAGGATTTGAGGAGTATTCAGCAGTCCTTGTGGGAAGTAAGTCCAGCTGGCTCTGCTTGTTCTATCACTGGTTGTAAAACAAGCCTGCTCAATCTGTCACTGACACAAAAGAGGAATGGCCTTGTTTTAGTGTCATTAAGGACTAACATGACTTGACTAAATTACAGAATTGCTTGACAATGTTGTGCCGCCGATTTGTCTTTAATTTGAATGGCAGAATGATTAGTTAGCATATTTAACACAAACAGAGCTTTGCAGCAGCTAAGTATAGCCTTCATGACTGATTAGAGAAAAAAATCAATAGATGTAAATATGAAATTTAAGGATTTTAAGCCAACACAAGTTTTGATTTTTTCCTAAATTACTTAATAAATGTATATAATGTTTAATATGATGTTTTAGCATGCTTTACAATGACATATGAAGGACCTAACTTATTATAAATACTGAAACCCATCTAAAATGTTTTTAGCTACACCTTTCTTTCAAGGCAAAACATTTTTGGTTTAGTCGGTTTTCAATAATTTACAAATGTTCTTCCTCACATTCTGTCTCCCAGACTGTCAGTGATTGGTTCTCGGTTCTATCTGTGTTTCTTTACAACTGGGTTGCGGGGCAACCTTGATGACTCATTTCCATGTGCTGTTTTTCCACAGCTGCAGAAACTGCTCACAGACCTGCCTGATGACATGCTGGAGGACAGCATAGACTCCTCCTCCCCAGAGCTGCAGTACTCTGCAATAAGCAATAAAAACACTGGAAACAGGTAACACACATGTTGCTGCAGGCACATTAGGAAGCTCAGATTTGGAGGTCTTTTGGTGTTGTTCAAAACTTGGTGACATTCCTAAACCCAGTGAAATGCAATTATGCTGTTTTTGCCCTTTTCTTCCAGCCCTGAGTCAGCATGGAGTCAGCAATGGTCGGTTCATCCAAGGCCAACCTCTCATGAACAAGTAGGTTACAAGTTTGTTGTTATCTATTATATATTTTTTGTCTTCGAAACATTTTAAAGAAAAACCCAACTAGTTTTAGATCATTATCTTTTTTAAGACATAAACTGAATTGGATCAATGCTTTCAGGATGATTATAACTATGGAGATGGAGCTGTTCAAGTCAATGGACACCTGGGTCAGATTCAAAGTCAACCTCACACTTGGAACCAGCACTCAGAGGATCATCGGTTCACCCAGGGAGATTATACATACACCAGCATGGGCACAGAACAATCTACAGAGACTAATGATTTCTCCACAGATGTGTATGGTTCTAAACCATACACTCAAGGCACTAATAATGCTGCAGTGTACCATGAAGAGGAAGGCCAAAGGGACCACAACAATGCCGGAAACCATTTTCAGGTGAGTGGAGTTTAGTTTTTGGTCTATTTTGTCTTGTCAGTGAAACAAATATCATCATAGTATTGATGTTTCATTATAGTTCTCTTAACGGTTTTATAGAACTTTTTAAAAAAGCAGCACTTCTGTGTGTTTGAAATGTATATACATTTTAAGTAAATTTTTTTCCTTACCTTAATCATTACCTTGTTATCCTGAACTTAACCATTCCTTATTATGTTGTACAATTGTATATTAGTTTAGAATATTTTCTTATTATTATTGTGCAACTTAACTTGGTTTATTCTTGAGTAATTGAGGACAATAATTCTTTTACGTTTAAACACACTCTGTTTGCTTGATGTGCTCTTCAGAATGTAAGGTCTGCAGCAGGAGACAGAGTTGTGGAAGAGTACAAGGCCAGCTACAACCCCCAACATCCTGCCCATCAGCCAAAGATGTTTAACTCCCAGGCTGCTCACCAGCAAGGTCAACTTGACCATCTGCAAAGAGATTTTCTCGACTCGACACAACGTGAGTCTGTATTTTATTACTAAACGAATAGTGAAAAAGAGTGTTTTGACATATAAACGACGAAACTGTGCTGCTTGAAAAGTGATCTGAGACAACTTAGGAATTTGTAAAATTGGACTGGAATAAATGTGTCTAAAGAGCTGTTGGTAAAACAGCTGCTGTCAAAAAAACTGAGGCCTCAGTAGTTTGCTTATAAAGTGACTATTTTGAAGAAAAAATTAATATAAATTTGCGTACATTCAATACTATTTCTGTGAAATGAAGAGATGTATTCAGCTAGACTGCTGGAGTGTTACTTTAATTGCAAATGGTTGAAGCTCACTTAATGCTTGAACTTATGTCATTTTATTATTCATTATGATGTTAAGACCGAGGCCATAGACTGGAAGCACTTTTTTTGTCACCATTGAATTAGCTGACTGAAGTGTTTTAATGTAACATTTGTCCTTGAAAATGTCATCGCTGAAATGTGAAATGTCTTCACATTTTTCCCACAAGCCTTCAGTGTTAGGTGGTCATTTTGTGTGTGCTATATTTCAGAAACTGCTGATAGAGAGCAGCTGGCTCAGCTGCAGATTTTACACAAGGCTCAGCAGAGGCAAGTTGAAGACTTGGAAAGGAAACTGGAGGATTCAAGGCGTAATATGAGATACATCGAGCATCAGTTTGCTATTGCCAAAGGTATTTTTCACATAGGTGTATCTTAAAAAAGATGTGTGTCCATTATTGAATTTTACAGCACATGTAAACTAATGTGAAGACACTGACTCTGAAACTAAAGGACTAACATGTAAGCTTAGCATGTTATGATTTATTGACCCATTACAAAAAATACATTTGAAGCTTGAATTAAGCTCTTGTAGAAATGAAACATATCACTATGAATAAGTCCCTCACTTCAGGCAACCGTGAAGAGCTAAGTGATCACTTGAAAATAAAACGTATTCTTTCAAAGAGACAGACAGTTTACTCTTGAAACAATATGTTTTATTTTGACCAATAAACCTTGGAGAACCAATGTCTGATTGCACATCAGTCTAGAGCATTGATCAATATTTACAGAAGGAAAACAACTTGGTATCTATTTGAAGATATTTACTGTTTTTTTTTTATAGTACTTGGCAAGTACTATATACTGTATCTGCACTACTTTAGATATACTGTATACACTATTGGCCCCCTGGTGGCTGTAAGAGGACTTGCACTGCCCACTTTGTTAGCCTCTTGTTTTGTTCTCTTGATGTCCTGCTACATGGTAAATAATATCATTTTCTATCATTAATAATAGATGAAAAGGATGGCCTTGCAGTAAGTCTAAAGGAATCGAGTCAATTGGTTGAAGAGGCAAAGCAGAGAGAAGTTCAAATGCAAAACAAATTGAAGGCAATGGAGCAGCAAGTACAGGTCCTTAATGAGAGAGACCAGGAGGTACGTTTTGAACTGGTACACACCCTCACACATTCTGTTTGCTCTCCTCCTCATATTCTGAATCGATGAAATAAGAAAGTAAGAAATTCATATAATTCAAGATGAAGTAAATGTCTGCAAAAGAGTTTGCAGAGATTTAGGAGCAGCCACTTTGAACGTATGATCAGCTCTGGATTTAAATTAAGAGTGAGGAACTGTTAAAAAGGCCGTGATCAGAAGACCCATGAAGGCGGCTGCTAGAATAACGGCACAGTGATTAAGTGATGTTAGTAGGAGCCAGGTCATGCAGGGCTTAGTATGTAATTAATGACATTTTGAAATTGATCCTGAAGGGAATGATATGGGAAATAATCATAATGCCCAGCTCAAATGTTATGTATCGCTCTCTCAAACTCACCCAGATTTATATTGCCTAACACTTTCTGAAACATGGTGATACTAATAATGTAATCTTCATTGAAACCTTTGCTATATATGTGTATTTTATTAGTGTAAACAACAGCTCAGTTTTGTTGTACAGAACACAAAGAAGCAGAGGGTGGCGGAGGCTGCAGTGGACAGCATGAAGCAGCAGATGTTGGAGCTTTGTCGCTCTGATACTCTGTCCAGAACACGGGAGCAGCATGACAGAGACCTCGCCGTCTTAAAGGAACAGCACAATTCTGTATTGTTGACACTACAGCAGGAGCTAGACTCCACCTCTCAGGCCCTGAACGATCAGGTCTGTACTATTACTGCCACAGGTTGCTGCAATAAGAAATGAATGTTTAGGCAAGCTGTCTACAAGCATGCTTTTAAAGTCAGGTCTCTAGCAGGCGTAGTTAACTCCTGTGTTATTGATCTGTGTCTCCAGATTGATGTAAGTCAGAGGTTTCAAGAGCAGGTGAGGCAGCTGGAGCGGCGGAGAGAAGAAGAGCAGCTGGAAAGAGCCAGAGTTGTCAACGGCCTCACTCAGCGTCTGGAGGAGAGTCAGCAACAATGTGCCAAGCTGCTGCAGACGAGTGAGTGATGGAGTGAACGTGGTCCACAAACACATTTTTGTTCATTTATATAAATCAAAGAAACTGAATATCAATGGGTAACCACCCTCTTTTCTCTGTTGTTGTTTTATTTCCTAAAGGTTCAGTGCAGGAGTTGACTCAGGTTCAAATAAAACTACAACAGGCTCAATCAGCAAAGGCACTCAGTGAAAATATGAACAAAGTCCTTCAGGTTTGCTTTTTTAAATTATTGCCCTAGAATGAGCTCATAAACTCACATCCAAACATTACTCAAAAACTCTATTTAGTCATGTTTGGTAACATGTTCATTTGTTTCCTAAAGGAGGATCTGTCTGATTTGAAGGAGCAGATCACTCTTTACGAGTCTGCTGTGAAACATGGAGTTATTGCTTTTGATGTGAGCAGTGACTGGGAGAACCAGCTGTCTGAATCCTGCATGGATTTAGGATTAAAGAAAACAAACAGGAAAAATGGCACCCTTCACAGGTACTTACACAGCGACTGAGTCTCTTTGCACTATTTGTAGCTATTGGTGACTTTATATTCCATTGAAATCATTCTTTCCTTCCTGTGGGGTCAGTACTGCCCTGGCTCACCTGTCAGACTCCAAGCTTCCCAAAGATGAAGCTTTGCGGCTGCTGCGAGTGGAGATGCAGCGCTGCCTGGGGAGCCTGAAGGGGAAGCGTCAGAAGATCAGTCAGATGCAGGAGGAGCTCCAGCTCTGTCAGGATAGAGTGAGCGTGCTGCAGACACAGCTAGATGAAGCCAAGCTTAGCTCTTCAGTGAGTACATCCATCGACAGCACCACACACAAGCTTTACGTTTAATACATTAATAAAAACAAAAGCAGAAATGTGAATATTGCTCATTCTAAATAACAAACCCCTTTAAAGATAATTGATCTGAAAGGATTAGTAATATGTTTTTGCATATTTTCTACAATGCTGTCCGGCTCTAATTAAATATATGCATTAATAGATAATGAAAGGTAAGAGATTTGAGGGCTCTCATGCAAAAATGGTCACATAAAATAACGCTGCTTGTGTGTTCACAGATCAGGGAGACCAGCCAGCTGAAACATCTGGACCTAACTGGGGAGTCTCAAAAAGAGTTCATGAAAGTACAGGAAGACAAACGACACTTGGAGGAACAAGTGAGGTTAGTAATAGTTTATCTTCAGAGTGACTATCTTCTTTGTTTTAGACCATAAGAAAAGATTGGATGATAGCTTTGTCATCTCTCCAAACTCAAGGTGTTAGAAAAGAAGAACAAGGAGCTGAAACAGAGTGAGGAGAAGGTGAGGTCTGCCAATGTCGAGCTTTGCACCAAGATGAGAGAGATGATCCAAGAACTGGACCAGGAGAAGCAGGAAGCTGCTGAGAGGTAAGGCACAAGGAATACGATTCAGTGGCCCCGCCAGCCGTAATCCTGTACGCGCTGTGTGTACATTTTATTACCAGTAGTAGAGGTCTATGCCTGTGTCCAGTCACCAACATCATGATGACACAAATACATTTTTGTGAGAAATTCTGTTTATTTGATGGATTGCCCCTTGAGATGAACCATCTCGTTTTCGCGGGGGTCCATTTGAAGGAATATGACTGGTGTTGTCTAGTAATAGTAACTGTCAAGGCTTCATATATCAAAACATTTCCTGTGCTGAAATGTGAAGTTAGCTATGTTGAATTCATTAAATTGTGTGTGTTGGCAAGAGTTTTGGGAGCAGAGAAGTCAAACAATTGAAAATTTTTCAGGCTTTTGGAGATTAAAAGCTGATTTGCAGCGAAGCCTGTCCCGAGTGTAATACTGGCACAGAGTCTGTTATGTTAGCACTGCTAGCATTAGTGCTATGACAGAAGGCAGCAGTCTGCTAGTCCATGATGAAGTTTAGATATCCCCATCACTCACTGTTTTTCAAGCCTAGTAGACTCTCACATTTTTTCCACACAGCAGCAAAAATCCACGATATGTGCTACCTCCGCTTCTCCAGATGACACCGGCTTTACGAAGGCTGATGACCTTTAAAGGACGTCTCACTCTGTCAAACTAAAAGTTTGGGGTTGTATTGCATTAGTGGGCTGGCCTTCTTTCTCTGGCTCGGTCACTCTGATCACATTTGTGCGTATGGTAACTTAGAAGATAAAGATGTCCTGCATATGCTGGAATGGTTCTTGCGCATACTATGAAATTGACAACTGATTGAATTGATTTATTCTTATACATACTGTATATGTGTGTGTCTTTGTGGAGGACTGAGCGGATTCATCAGCAGTACAGGGACGATGTGGTGAACCGGATCAGGACAGAGCTCATGCTGGAACATGATGCTCAGATTGAACGGCTGACTTCACATCATGAGCAGCAGGTCCAACAGATACAGTAAGTCAAAGCCTTAGTAGAAAAAGGAATCTGGAAACCTTTGTAGCTCATTTAAAGACTGACTACTTATTGACAGGACCAAGCTGTCTGAGGCCAATGATAAGATGCTGGCCGTGCAGGAGTGTTACATATCTGTCTGCAAGGAGAAGGACATGCTTGAAGAAAGTGTGCGCAAGAGGGAGAGGGAGGAGGCTTCGATAAGGGACGATGAGGTAATCAAGATACAAAAGTGATTTTTTTTTGTTGTTGTACCAAGAATACATTGTCATTACAACAACAGCTGACAACATTTGTTATACATACAACAACATACATACATACAAGTAATACATACTTAATGTACAACATGCTCTTAACTACATTCAACTAAAAATAAAGTCTTAGCCTTATATCTGTAATTAAAGCCTCTAAGAACTTTTTCTCTTCAAATGGCTTCTAGAACGACCCAAAGAGCGAAGGTGACACAGAAAATATTAAACAGCTAAACACACAAACGTCACAAGGGAGAAGTTGGAATTATTTAAAATTCAAAAGACACGACAAAAGAGTAAATAATGACCGTATTACAAAGTGTTCTAGCTTGATACTCACACAGTTAACATCTAATGTACCGACTTCCCTTTTGTCTCTGTGATGAGGTTGACTGTAACCAACATTGACTATTTGTGAACTACAATTGGTTCATCATTAATATTGCTGTTCCCAGCTGAAGTCGAGAGAGGACAGTGAAGCAGCTGTGGTGAAACTGAGGGCAGAGCTTGAATCTCAGCATCAGGCCTCAATAAACCAGCTCAAGACTCTGTGGGCCAAAGAAAAGAGCTCCAGGTGAACTCTCAAGTAGAGATGGTCAAGACTGCTTATAAGGAAGAACTGCAAAAGGTATGATTTTTCCCAAAGTCACTGCTCAAACTTCCTTCTGGGGGGAAATGTTCCTGAAATTTTGTACTGATTTTTTTTTTACAGGTGGAGAAGACCTGGGTCAAGAGGCTGGAGGAGGCTAGAAGAAAGAGAGACAGAGAAACCACCGAGGCGGCCTGTCAGACAGATCATAATGAGTCGAGCAGTGTGACTATTACTGTTGTTGAAATGGACTCAAGGCTGAGTGCTCAGAAACAGCAGCTGCAACTGGAAGCTGACAAAGTCAAACGCAAAGCTGTGGAAGAAGCCAGAAAACAAGTTCAGAGAGAGCTGCATGAGAAACACCTGGAGGACATGGCCAAACAGGTCAGTGAGTTGACCTGGCTATTTCTGTGCTACTTAACCAAAGTGCTTCTGTGCATTTTTTAAGTGGCAAAACTTGGATATACTCCAGTGCGCTCATGTGTTAGAGTTAAGTGTTTTACTAATTTCTGTTTGCAACATAATGTGCTCGGTTCCTTAAATGTTTTCAGCTGCTTTACTTTGAACAGAGGTTGACAAAATTAGAAGTTGACATACGTGTTTGTGTTCCAGGTTGAAGGTACAATAACCAGGGCCTACAATCGCTGGATTGAGGATTTGACTTCGCTACCAGAATACAAAGCTGCACTCCAAACAGAGAGAGAGGAATGGGAAGCACTTCAGGAAAAACACATAGAACAACAGGTAAGACAGGGTTTTGTTTTTAATTAATCATTTTTTAATCAAATCATTTTGATCATGTATATTCCTCAATTTGTAATGTTCCAGATATCCCGGGCCCTGAAGGAGGCAGAGGAGCAGTGGCATAAGAAGCACAGGGACCAGTTAGAGGAGCAGAGCTCTGGGACACAAAAGATGGAGGAGCTCCGAGAGGAGGTGGCAGCTCTTCAGAGCCAGCTTGAGCTAGTGAGGAGAGAGCAAGCAGCCCTGCTGAAAGCAGAGCTGGCCGGAACTAGAGCAGTCTGGAACCGAGACAAACAGCAGGAGATCGCTGTCATCCAGGCTCGCACTGAGCAGGTGTACCAAAACAAGCTTCAAGAGCAGCGCGAGCAACTGGAGCAGTCTTTGCAGCAGACCAGGGAGGAGGCAGACCTTCAGAAGAAGGAGCTGCTTCTGCAGATGGAGGCCAAGCTACAGCAGACTCTACGTGCCAGAGAGGAGGAGTGGAGATGTCAGCATGCAGAGTGGGAGCAGGCTCAGAGACAGCAGATGAGAAAGGAATTCATAGCAGAGCTTCAGACTGGTCTGGCAGAGATCCAGGAACAGATTCAAATGGATCACAAAGCAGATCACCTGGTCACTGCAGACATCAAGAGGAGCCACAGGGCTTCATCACACGATACAATAACACACATCATCCAAACATTCTGTACAGACATAATCAACAGAGCGGTCTCTCAAACCAAAAAGGAGTGGAAGAAAGTAAGTCATTGTAACCGTTAATCATCCAGCGGAAAATTGTTCATGAGTTTGGATTGTCTTTATTAGTTTAATTTATGCCCCCACAGATAAGTGAGGAGAGACTAAGCCAAGTGATAAAGGAAACACATTTACAGCATGAAAGGGAAATCAACACCATTAAAAGTATGTGATGTGCACTTTTAATAATATGACATCCAGTATACATAATTTAGATTAGAGTGTAGTGTATTGTACCTAATGCATGACAATGTCGTTTTTTTCAGGCTGTTTGAGCGAGAGGACGGAGCAGGTTAGTTGCAGGAAGGAGTGCTCTGAAACTAAAAGTAAGCTGCAGAAGAAGAATCAGGAGCTCCAGAGACACTTGGAGAAAGCCTGTCGTCAACTCCAGCACAGCGTTCGAGAGCACAAAAGTGCCATGCAACGTCTAAAAGGTAATAAATGCATATCAGTATTCATTTTATTTATGTTTTTAAATCAATTTTCCTGAACAAGACAGTATCTATGTGCCTGTGACGGTGGTTTACAATGCTGTGTTTTGTAGATGAGCATGAAAGCAGCTTACAAAAGGCAAAGGAGGAACATCTGCAGCAGCTAGAGGAAGTGAAGGGAGCAAAAGAATCCTCTAGGTTTGTGTGATTTCATCATTTCTTATCTTCTGTTCAAAGGCTAATTACTCTATTGTTACTTTGTGCCAAGTTTGATAACATTTATCAAACATGTTTGTTATATGTTAGGCATTAAACAAATGGATTTCCATGCCATTAAAGGCCCAATCTTATCTCTCAGGTTGCATACATCTTTACCTGTGTGCAAACAGATTTTTATTTCTCATTGGTGAAGGAGCTTAATAACATGAGTGACTTTCTTTTCATCACACAAAGGATATATGGGGAAATACTTGACTTTTTAAATAAAGGCAAAAATAACACATATAATAGGGTAACTTGGTATTTTCTAAAATCCCAAAACAAATCCCTTTCAACCGCTAGGCCATCTGCGCCCCATAATGAATAATTAATTTCAGTAAAAATTGCAAATAATATATTTGTTCTTCCTTGCAGAAGCTCTGATCAACAACAGAATCTTCAGCAGGGCCTGGAGGAGATGAAGCAGCAATATCTGACGACTGTGGAAAAGATCAGAGGTTGGTAGTAGAGGTTAAAGGGAGGTTTTATTGTCGAGCAGGAGATATCAATAGTATGAATGAGAGCGTGATCCATGCTTTATAAAAACGACTACATGATGCAGATTTGCATGTTTAATTGCATGCAAATACTACATCCTTGCTAAGCTCCATTCTTGTAAATGTAAATACTGTAAATCACAAATCATATCTGTTTTAATGGCAGAGGACATGCTGAGGTACCTTCAGGAGAGCCGGGAGAGAGCAGCAGAGACGATCCGAACGGAGGTGCAGAGGGAACGGCAGGACACTGCCAGGAAAATGCGGCGCTACTATCTCACCTGTCTGCAGGAGTTACTGGAGGATGGAGGAAAGACTACAGGGCAAGAGGCCATGATTGTCCTAAACTTGTTTGCTTGCTTCATCGTAGCTCCTCATGGTAATTGTATTGATCTTCCTGTCTTCTTGCAGGGCTGAAAAGAAAATTATGAACGCGGCAAGCAAGCTGGCAGCCATGGCTAAAGTGCTAGAGACGCCTATCAAGAGTAAATCTGGAAAGAGCAGTTCACAAAGTGAGTCACTTTCTGCAGAAACACTTCACTGTACTTTTTTGTCACAAAATTCCCACGGTGTTTGTATCTGTTTGTCTTAAAGGGTGTTTGACAGCTGCTTCAACAGCTGACTGTCCTCCAGGTAGACACGCAGGTTACAGTAAGATCCTGTCAACACTGCCTGAGCTTCCTGACATCAGGCCGGAGGAGAGGTCCCACAGGGAAAAGACTTCTGCAGATTCAGAGCAGAAACAAATCACTGCAGCGAGGAATAAACCTTTGTGCCACCGGGACACACCTGTGGCTAGAAAGGAAGAGGACTCTGGGCTGAAACTCCAATCTTCTGCTCATTCACACCTCCGCCCTCTCAAACCTTCTCAACAGATGTCCTCTTCATCCCAGGTGGATTTTGTCGATGCATCTGTGAGAAGTAAAAGCAGGGCGCTGTACCAGCAGGGAGTTAACTCCAAAGAAACAGACTCGGGTGGACAGAGACAACCATTTGTTGTCCAGGAGGCTCCAGTCAGAGACGAGAGACTGGCCGACTGGAGCATGACCAGCAGTGACTCAGAGACAGGCTTCCAGGTTTCCCGACTGTCCCACTCAGGACGCAAAGTAGAACCGGTCAAACCTTTTTCTGTTTCTTCTACATCAGCCGGTGACTTGGGAGACTTTGGCGGCCTCACCCCGGACTTTTCTGACTTGACTGTTTATAATGAAATAGCCAAGAGGACCCCTCATACCCAGAACTTTCTTAATGGAAAACTGAGTTCACACAGGGAGCCTACCCCAGGCTCCGAGGGCGAGAAGCAGCAGGGAGTTTGTTCACAGCCTCTGTTCTCCGAACTGAGGCAGCGGCAGCAGGACAGCGGCTTCGACAGCCCATTCTACCAACACAAGTGATACAGAGGTAGGGAGATGAGCTTATAACACACTCCACATTTCCAGTCAGCTGAACAAACGGTGCCTTTAATGCAGTCTTTAAAGTTAACCCTAACCCTAACCCGAGTGTCAAGGCTTTAAACTTGAAACTGCGTGCAGAGTGTTTGTGTGTATTGAACTTAGGAAATTATTAACTTTATAGCCACAATTACAAAACATAAAAGTAATATAAAAAAACTTTCTCTTAGAGGAGGTAGCCCTGAGAGGATTTTTAATACTGCCTTGAAAACATGGACGTAAATAGCTTTCTTTTGTTGGAAAGGTGTCTATGAGGTAATAGTTGTATTTAACATCAAACACTTTTCTGTTTTTGCATAATTACCTCAGGTATTAATGTTTCTTGTTTGTGTGTTTTCTTGGGTGTAGCACTTCCATCATAGATAAGCGATAAACTGTGAAACCCTGAATAAGAAATTCTAAAAAGGTTACCCTTAAAAGACTCGGAGTACGAGATAAGGTTCAGATAAAAACGTGTCCCTCTGTGCTCCGTTTCCTCTCTTTGGATCCAGAACCATTTACATTCATGTGTGTCTGAGTTTTAATGTTTTTAATGTTTTTATACGACTTTAATGAAATATGCTGTGCATAGTTTATAAATGTTTTTTACACTGTTTTAAGACTTTTAATAAATCGTATCTTATTGAAAACTGAGTGAGAACTTATTTGTCATCAGAGCTGGACCTCTCCAGAACATCTTGTGATGCTGAATATAGAAAAGGGGGGGGGGGGGTTCTTGAACGGGGCTGCATGGAGTCCATCCTAAATGACATCAATCAAACCACGTTTTTATTTTAAAGTAACTCATTGTTTCTTCCTAAGGCAACATTAAGTCAGACTTGTTATTGTTTGTTGCCTGTTTCAGAAGGTAAACCCCCCTCCTTCTTAAATTGCTATAAGTCTTTTTGTCTGTAATGATATCAATGTGTGAACTGAGTTATCAGACCAGTAACGTTGAACTGTGCCATGCCAGGACCTCAAACAGACCTTATTTCAGTCAGCTCCAAAAGCTTATTGGAGCCAGGTTGAAGATGTTGGCCAAAAGATCAACGTTAACGCTGCTGGTTCAATGTGCACATGTTGATATTATCAAAAGACATCTGGGGAGGGCTCATCTGTGGGCCTTTCAGGGGCCCAGCCGTTTCATTTGGGCTGGCCAGCAAACAATATCACGTCAATCATTTTTGTAAATGTAATACAAGAAAGCAAGCAATTTTGCTGCTTTATTCACTATTTAAAAGGTTTAAAATGTATTCATTTAATATGGACGATACAATTTAACAAAGCTTCAATACAAAGCATTAAACTGACGGGCTGCACAGAGAGTATAGAGCTATAACTAATGACTTACTCTTGTCCCTATTGGGCCTCTAGGTAAACAAACAGAATCTAAAATAAACTACATTGATCAAATAAAACCACATAACACTTAATGAGGATACATTCAAATACATATATGACAATTCAAAATTAAATAAAGCAATGTAGATTACAAATTTAAGATACAACCATTTAAAAATGGGTACATTAGTGAAAGAATTAAAAAAAAAAAATCAACAGAAAAGAGCAATATCCATAATGTTGTGTGTCCTCTTTTCATTTCCTGTCATTGTAACGCATGAGTGGAGGAACTATGTGGCAGGTCGATCAATAACTGACTGGTTATTGTCTGTTAGCCTTAGATTGGCACAGCCTCCTGTCTCTCTGTTATTTGATAACGTGTAGTGTTCATTTTGAAGTTGTTGAGTCAAAGTTCGCTGCCTGAGCTCCTCCTCCTGTGACTCCAGTCCTCCTCTTCTCACTGATGTATTTAACTGTCACATGCCCTATATCTCCCCACACGGCCGATTACTTTATGTGGGATCATGTTTACCTTGGTAGTTCTAGCAGCTGTGGGGTTTCTTGCCTTTCTATTTCAACGTAGTTACTTCTTCCAGGATGTTCAACACGTGCTCATAAGATGGAAAATCAAGAAACGTATCCTGACATTCATGCAGAAAAATTACACCATAGCGGACCAGTTTGCAGACACTGTGAAGGCGCATCCACACAAGCCCTACCTGCGTTATAAAGACGAGACGTTTACCTACCTGGACGCAGATGAACTCAGTAACAGGGCTGCGAGAGTCCTGCAGCAGAGTGGACGCGTCAAAGGAGGAGACACTGTCGCGTTGTTCCTGGGGAATGAGCCTCAGTTCTTGTGGCTGTTTCTTGGTTTGCTGAAGCTCGGATGTCCCGCTGCGTTGCTCAACTGCAACATCAGAGCCAAATCCTTTTTACACTGCTTCAAATGCAGCGGAGCCAAAACTCTGGTCGCTGCAGAAGGTAAAGACCTCTTTTGGACACTTTGTTCTCAATCCTTGAAGCTGAATCTGAAAAGCAGATTCCTGCAGGATATATTAGGTTGGCTATATCTGCTCGAGATAGGAACCAATTCACATAATTCTGCCACTATGTAACATGTATCCCTTTATTGTGAATACATGATAATCGTTATTTTTATCATGTCAATCTAAAAGATTATGTTTGTTGTTTATTAAATCTGCAAACAGCTACAGTCACCATTCAAAACATATTTTACATTCTAGTTGTATGCTTATTTTATGAGCTCCTTTGATCTTATGACGGGTCTTTATTGCACCACCTACTGTGAGTCCATGATCCATGCTGAGCCTTGTCTGCAGCTCTTACCACATATTTTTAAAATTCAACTTTATATGAAAGAGCAGCAGGGAATAGTGACCAAAGGAATGAGCAAAGTTAAGAATATGTTTGGGTGCTATATGCAAGACTAAGTAAGTAAGTTGTTTGTTGGCGTAGTGTTGGTGTTGCTGTAATTTGTACAATAAGGAATAAAGTAACTTTTTGAGCATCACAGAAATAAGGATCTGTCTGTTTGGGTCCCGGGCCTTATTGATGAGTCGACCCAAAACAAGAAGAAACTTGTTATAAACTTGGGTCCTGATGTACTGCAAACTTCTGCAGGAAAGTAGGGTTTTAAAAGGTTTGTATTTGGAATAGGATTGCTCCTTCTCAATCTTGAGCAAATGAGACTTTGAGGTCTGCCCTTACCTACACAGTTGTGACAGTCAAGACAAGATATGAGTGCGATAGACTCAGCGATGGAGATGCAGAAGGGCCGCATTGTTGATTTCTCAAATTTGGCAGGTTGAACTTGCCTTGCTGCTGCAGGAATTAAATTCTCTCCTGAGCTTTCAGAAGACATTCAGGTCACACTTCAGTCCAGGCTGATGATGGCAACCAGGAAGAAGAAGGACTCAACAGTTTTGAATGAGGGGGGTCACACTGGGAGGGATTTCCATCAACTCTTTGATATTAAATTCAACTTTACTCAGCTTTTTCTGCAGAAAATAGATATTCCAGTTTAAATAGAAACAATGCAGGGGTTAAAAGGTGCTTTCCACTGAAAGCTTGTCATTTCTTTTCAGCCTGAAAAGCACAAATGTCATCATATATCAGGAGGAAACGTGGAATCATCTTAACATTGTTTCAAGAAACAAGGAAGGGAATTTGGTACCAGGAAGAAATACAGCAAGCTTAGGTCAAGGACAGTATCTTCCTCGGTACATTTTGACATGAGTGCGGCAGTGGTGGAAAGTGAACAAGTACAAGTAAAGATACTCTTTGAGTTACTCCTGAAGAGAAGTATTTGTTACTCTGAATGATTTGAGTCTTTAAGCTGCAGAGAAGAAGTTTATTTGGTTCTATTTACAGAGTTACAGGATGCCGTGGAGGAGGTCCTGCCCAGTCTGTTGGAGCAGCAGGTCACTGTTTTCATCCTGGCAGACAGATGCAGGATCGCAGACGTGAAGAGCTTCAAAGACAAAATGAGCAAAGCCTCCTCGGAGCCTCTACCGAAAGATTTAAGGTCACATGTAACCATGCGGAGTGCAGCAGGCTACATCTACACATCAGGGACAACAGGTGAGCCACTTTAAATGTTCAGGGTATAAAGAATAAAAGAAACAGTGAGTAGACTGTGACTGCTCTTCAACAGGTCTCCCTAAAGCAGCAATGGTCACTCACACCAAAATGTGGATGTACAGTTTTATGCAGTATATGACAGGAGTGAAATCCAACGATGTGATCTATACGACCCTCCCTCTGTATCACACTGCTGGTATCATTGGAGCTTTTGGAGCCATTGAGCGGGGTGAGTACACATTAGGATATATTATTGTCTATATAATAAACCCTTCTACAGGCCCATTGATTTTACACCAAAAACTACTTTGTTCATTAATTAAAAGAACCCTCAAATACCCTAAGCAGCTGGCTACTGTACTTTAAGCTAGCAAAAATTGAACAGTAGTTAGTGATGCATTTGTTGGGCCCTATTTTAAGCTGTTTTCATATCCAGAGCTTCAGTGTACCGACAGGTTGTCAAGGACGGCTAAAGAAAATTGGTGCACAAATGACGTAGGTTACAAATATGTGTTAGGCTTATCTCAAGGATATGCAGCTTCATAATAACAAAAAATAAAACCAGAAACAACCTGCTGAAGACAAGAGACAACTGCTGGTAATGCAGTTACATTAAAAAAAAATTCAAAAGTGATGAGTCCCAGTTCAAAGGACTTTGTTTGTTAAAAATTGTTAATCCAAAATTAAAGAGGAGCACGGTGTGTTTCATTTCAGTTGATTTCATTTTATATTCAGAAAATAATTCACCTCTATGGTCCAGATTAGCCACATTATATAAGACACATTAGGTCACATTTAGCCCTCGAGTCACTTCATCGTTGGTGTGGGTCTTGAGAACATGTTGAACTACCGTGTCCTACAAGAATGTTCATTTTCATCTTGGCCGTGTGCAGGTATCACGGTGGTTTTGAGGACTAAATTTTCTTCATCGCAGTTCTGGGACGACTGCAGAAAATATAACGTCACAGTCATACAGTACATCGGTGAAATCATGCGTTACCTCTGTAACACACCAAAGGTATGTAATGCAAGTCACAGCACTGGACATAGGAAAAGTCAAAATAACAAAAACACCCCCCATGTTTTCTTTTCATTTTTCTTCCCCAACAGAAACCCAATGATAAAGTCCACAAAGTGAGACTCGCCATAGGCAACGGGATGAGGCCCGATGTTTGGAGGGACTTCATTAGCACCTTTGGAAACGTTGAAATTAGAGAGTTTTATGGAGCAACAGAAGGGAATATTTCCACGGTTAATTACAGCGGCAAGATGGGAGCTGTTGGGCGAGACACATTTATGCACAGGGTAAGAGTCCAGGTTGATTCCACATTATGAGGTTGAAGCTGTAAAAACTGTTAATTAGTATGTTTTTTCCTCTGTTTGTGTCTCGTAGTTGTTGTTTAAGTATGCTGTGATCAAATACGACGTAGATGAAGACAAGCCGGTGAGGGATTCTTCTGGTTTCTGCGTCGAGGCTTCCAGAGGTGTGTCTTACTGTTTGTAGTTTGTAAGACACAGAGGTCATGTCCTGAACTTAAATGAAACACACTCAAATCAACACTTGTTGGATATAACAGGACTGATAATGTTTACTGATTCTGTGCATCAATAAAATGTTTAACTCCACTGCAAGGTTAAATTGAACCCAGTGGATGTTTTCCAAATGCTGTAAAATGCAATGATGTATGCGATGTGTATCTTTGCCTCTGCAGGACAATACATCATAAAAATCATGAAATGACAAACTGCTGCCAAAGTGCACGCGTGTTTAACAACTTTAAAGATTCCCTCTTCTCCATGAACTGCCCTCAGGTGAACCTGGACTTCTGGTTTCTGAAATCACAATGAAGACGCCGTTCATGGGTTATGCAGGAGACGTGCAGCAGACTGAGAAGAAGAGGCTGCATAACGTCTTCAGGACAGGAGACATGTACTTTAACACCGGGGACCTGCTTCGTGTTGATGAAGACAATTTCATCTACTTTCAGGACCGAGTTGGGGACACTTTCAGGTGGAGTCATCCCAGGTTTACATGTTTCAAATATGTAGGCTGATCCTAGAGTGCATGCAGCTTTACAGTTTTGTTGTTGTTGTTGTTGTGTTGGTGACAGATGGAAAGGAGAGAACGTGGCTACAACTGAGGTTGCTGACGTCATCACAATGATGGAGTGCATTAAAGAGGCAAACGTGTATGGAGTTGAAGTGCCAGGTACGTTTCTTTTGAAATCTTTTGAACTTTCTTTATTTCATTTTTTAAATGCAGGTACACTAATTTAATAATAAAATGTCAAATTGTTCTAAAGCTGTATGTGCTAAGGGACTTGGGATTTTTGGATTTGTGTAATAAAAAAAAAACAATTGTCTGAAACTTTCATTCATAAAGGATCAAGTGTAAGTTCAAAAGAAATGTGGAATAAAACTCAGACAGCTTTTGATAATTCTATGAAATGAAAGTATTGTTATAAATATATTTAGCATGACATTTTTTCCTTCCTCTTTATTTATTTCTGTCATACTCTAATGGATTTTCAGGAGAATTTATTTTTTATTCTTAATTAGTTTCTCTTTGGAGCCCAGAGCAAGTAAAAAGAAGCATCAATTGTATTCCTTAAATACTTTAACTGGACATCTACCACTTCTTTACCAACTCCCTTTGAAATATATACATATATGAACCCCTACTGCTTTTATTAAGAAGTCTAATTTATGCTGAGAAAGTGGTGTATGCACAACTGAAGCTGCCCCTAGAGTTCTTCTAGGTGTTGCAGGGTTATTGGCCCTTTATCGACGCCGTTTATGTAAAGAGCCAGTCAGAAGTGGTTGAAGCCAGGCAGACATGGCAGAGGTTCAGATAAGTGAACCTTGACCTTAAAATGTTAAAAAAAAAGCATACATGATGATGAAATGCACCTGATGTGGAAGCATGGTATCGCCTCAAACTCAGTTTGGAAACTAAAATAAAATAAAACTAAAATATCAACCACAAAATGCTTTTAAACACCAAAATAAATTCTTGTATCAGCCGCATCTCTTTTCCCAGAGGTTCCAAGTCCTGCTCTTTATTTATGTTGAAAGTGCCCATAAAGGTCACATTTTCTATCGAATATGCTTATCAGGATTCAGTATTTATAATGGCTTCTCTTTGTAAATTCAACTTAAACTGTGTTTGTGCTCATGGAACACCAGACATTTCCCCGTGCAGATCACTTATCTTATCTTATTGGACCACTTTGTCACTCAGAAGTCATCCTGATACAGAGACATGATACATATAGATTACTGATTCAACTTCACTCTCTCTTTACAGACATATTATTGTTTCTATAAACTCAAGAGATCAAAAGTCAACTTCTCTCTGTGGCCACAAGCTTTAAGTTCAGTGCAACATCTTAAAAAACCTTTCCTTCTTGGAAAACAGTACTTCCCTCTATGCCCACAGTTTTTTAAGGTTTTTTGTTTTACATTTGAGCCTAAGCCCAAATGACCCTGATGACATCATCATGACATCATCAGGGTCATTTTATCAGACTTGACAACAAATGTTGCAGTTCATGTGATGAGAGCAATTCCAAGCATGTCAAAACGCATGTCCCTGATCTCTTTATCAATAACATATGACATCACTGATCTAAAGTTTTCTGATTGGCTTTTCTCCAGGTCAGGAGGGGAGAGTCGGGATGGCTGCCATTTCTTTAAGTGATGGAAAGCACTTTGACTCCACAGGTGTTTTTAAACATGTAAAAAAATTCCTCCCGACATACGCCAGGCCCCGTTTTATGAGGATTCAGGTATATCATTCAAGAGCAGTTTGTCTCAGACTCCTCCCCCCCCTCTCCTCTTACTAATTCATTATGCTGTGATTTGATTGCAGAGTACTTTGGATGTTACAGGCACGTTCAAGCACATGAAGACGAAGCTGGTGCAGGATGGTTTCAACCCAAATCAAATAACAGCTCCACTCTACTTGATGGATGAAGAAGTCAAAGATTACATCCCACTAACGCAGGACTTGTTTGATTCCGTCATGTCAGGGAAAATCAAAATTTAGAGCGACTTTCTTTATTTTTTTATGAAGTGAAATATTTTTTATTTTTTATAAAATATATGTATATGACCCACCTGTGGTTTTTAGCACATTTGAGAGGTGGTTTATAACAAATGTTGTGATCTATTCTTAAGGTTTTTGTTGTATTTCTGCTTCTGCAATAATTTCATAAATTTCCCTAGATGACTCTTATTCTCCTCCTGAGAACATGTTTGAACTCATTGGACCTGATTATGAGACTGACTAATGAAAATGTACACACCACATGTACACACCACACAGGTTCAGTGATACTTTTACTTACAGCAAGAAATCAAGTTTTTCAAGTTGAGTGCATGAACCTGTTTAAACTTCAGTGCATTTTTGTTCTGGTCTGTGGAAGCTTTAGTCACTATGGGAACTGACATCTCTGCCTTGTGTTCATGATGGGTTTTTTTTGTGTAATTGTTGCAAAGCAGGTCTCTTCAGAACTGAGGTTTACTTGGATGTTGAGCTTTCTCTTATGGACAGTTAACAGCGTGCACATAGACCACGACTTTCTGTCTGTTGCTGCTCATTTATTAGCGTCTGACACCACGGACATAGAAACCCTGCACACATGATTCTAATGCTTTAAATAGATCAGTCTGAAAAATTGTACTTCTCCACATCTCGCATTTTAAATCACTCCTGTGTGCATGAGTTGTTATCACATTATGTTGAAAATGTAATGATTGAAAATTGAAAAGCACACATGTGAACTCTGTGTTCCTTCAATAAATCTTCATCTGTGGATTTTTAAATCAACGTTTTCTAATTATTTTTATACCCTACTTCTTGCCCACATTTCTGTGAGCTGAATGTGCCTTTCTTGTAGTGTTCAGTGTCATTTTTTTAAATTCTCATCTCATCCTGTGCAGTTTCCCTTATGTTTAAATGTAGATTCATGGAATAAAGCCAGTCTAGTGCAGACAGAGAAAGAAGTCAGACGAGTCCCCGACTTGATTCAGCACCACTAACAGGTTCATATATTACACGTGCAACAAAGTTCACGTTTCAAAAAATACTTCCCTTTTTGGATCAAACTTTTATGTAGTGCTTTTTTAAACATATACTAACAAATGAAATTAATGGAAAAAAATACAGCACAGGAGGGTTATATGAAAACTGCTCAGCTTTATGTTTAACAAGTGAAATGTTGGAGCAAAACAAAGCGAAAATGGTTGTGATCCAGTTACAGAAGTCTAATAAACACAACTAACTATGATATAGCTTAGCTTATTAATTCAAAGGCAAATTTTGATCCTAAACAGTCAACTAAACAGCCAACATTTGAAAAATCAGGCTAGACTCGAGCTCATTAAACCCATTCTTTATGGGACAGTGACAGTGAACTTATGAAGGCTTCAGGTGTTTGAATCATTTGATTTAAGCTGCAAAATGATTTGAAAGATCTATATGAAATCTGATGTCAGGTCAAATCTTTTGGGCTATTGCAGGACTTTTTTTTGACTTGATGAATGAAGACTATAGACTATATGAAGATTATAGCCTTCTTTCATCAAGTCTCCCAGAGGTCAACTCAGAAACACGTGTCCCTTTTTCCCGCGTTTCTGGTTTCTGAAGGTGTGTGTCTTTGGGTGTGTGTCTTTGGGTGTGTGTGTGTTTGGTTTGTTTGGTTTAGTTTCACTCAGGTTGCCTACGGAAGCCTTTTTAATACATTTCTGAAGTAGGTTAGCCTATAAATTTGATTATTCTAATTCTATGCTCTGTTTAACTTTTAATCCATGACATTTAGATAGCAAATATTTGTCCCAGACTGTTTTAATCTACTTTTACTTATGTAGTTGTACTTTCCACAGTAGCCTACATACCCTAAACTTAGGCTAAAAATGCAAAATATTTCCAGCCAAAGTCTGACATTATTTGGGATAATCTCCAGGGGAAATGCACAGAAAAATACCTGGCGTCATATTAATAAAGTCTATATGCAGGCCTATAATATGTAGGCTATATAAATTAATCATCAAACATAGGCTAGTTAATATTTCCCTGCTGTAGCCCATTTTGACTAATAAGCGTAAAAATATCAGTCTAAATATACATTGAGTGAGTTCGAAATATAGCTAAATTCTTTTATTTTGATACTTTATTAGCCTCTGATAAAAACATGAATATGTATGAGGAGGAAATGATCTTTAAATCAGTTCAGGAGGAAACACCCGAGCTGACAACTCGAAAACATTCTGGGAATGAAGGAGGGGTGGTCTCCTCCGAGCACCGCCCAGGTCCAAGTGGGTGAACTTTGTCACAAATCACAGTGAGCTGCTTTATTCCCCCCTCCTCTGCCTCTCCTCACACACACACACACACACACACACACACACACACACAGAGAGAGAGAGAGAGAGAGAGAGTGAGAGAAGCACGGACAGATGAGTTCCGCGTAGTGCGCTCATAGACTGTAAAAAAATAAAGTGCGCTCTGCAAAATGTACATCTGGTTCACCGTGTTCGCCGGACTGGCTATTCTGTCCTTAGCCTTCCTCAAGTCACTTCTCCCTCACTTTGTCGAGGACTCCACGTACATCCTGAGGAGCCTCAAACTCGGCTTCAGACTCGTCAAATACAAGAAGATCAAACCTTTCTACAGCGTCGTGGACTGCTTCTCGGATGCAGTGAAGAGGCACCCCAATAAGATCTTCCTCCACTTCGAGGGTCTGCAGTATTCCTATGGAGATGTGGATAAACAGAGCAACAAGGTGGCCAGAGCTCTGCAGGCTGAAGCAGGGCTGAAGGAGGGGGACACAGTCGCTCTGTTTCTGGCCAACGAGCCCAGCTATGTGTGGACTTGGCTCGGTTTGGCCAAGCTGGGCTGCCCTGCTGCCTTGCTCAACTTTAACATCAGGTCCAAGTCTCTGTTGCACTGTTTCTCCTGCTGTGGGGCCAAAGTCATCATCGCCTCTCCAGGTAATTATCACACGGCCATGTGAAAAACACGGGCGTAAGAAAAGAAGAGTGGGGGTCTTCTGCTCTCTTTCCTCCACCAGCACGCTGCCTGTTGCTTTTACAAGTCTAAAGTCCAGATTTTTTTTTTGTTATATATGTAATGAAAAGAAGTTGTAGGAAAAAGCACAATTTAAAGGATAAAATAATAATGAACAAACTGTAATTTCAGTAAGACAACCCATGATGCAATGCTTCTCCCCAAAAAACTATTAATAGTTTTAATAACTATAGTTTTAACTAGTCACTTTATTTATTAGATACCCTTGACAGGCTCAACGCTATAGTGTAGAAAAATCATGCATACACTTTGTTTGTATTCTTTATGGTCATGTTTACTTTTTGTTTGTTCAGCTTTGTTGTTGAGTCAGTGCAAGAAGATTGAGAGCAGCAGAAAAACAAGGGATTGCATTTCTTCTGCGCATCCACATTCTTCACCTATAAAGCTGATTGTGATTATGAGGTTCTTTCAGGTTTTCAAGGTCACGCAGCCTAAAGTGTTGCCTCCTTTCAAAAGGAAACTACTGCGCTTCCAAATCAGTTGATTTATAGTATAGTTTTCATTCATTCATTAAAATGGAGATTCATTTGAGATAAATACTCTGAGTAAATGATTTAATCAGTTCTTCCACTATACATAGATTTACTCTACGGATGCATTCATCTTGAACATCATGGCTCTGTGAATCTACATTTTACATTCAAAGCAGGTTTTGATAAGAACGTGACGTGACGCTATCAGAGCTGTTGTGATGCAATCCTGAAGCTGTGCTCTGAATGACCCCTGCTCCCTTTACTCTGTGTGTTTTTTATTGTACCCTACAGGTACAGAACAAACAGCAGCCTGCACATGGCAGCTTCATTAGACTTTGTCTTGAGCGCCAGTAACCAAGTGGACCTACTACATTAACTGATTGATTATAACATAGGGATGTACACCTAGAGTGTTTTATACGAGGCATTTGTCTTCAGGTTCTGCTCTGCTTTACTTTGATATTAAACCACAGGTATTTTGATCACCAGATCATTTTCTCATTGTGCCTTATTGATAATCAAACCTTTACTGTGGGAGATTAAATTACCCAAGATTACATTCAGTAGTTACTGAAGAACTAAGGACAGAGCTAATCGGCCATTTTCAGACTTTTACCCCAATTTAGAGGCTGTTAATGATTTGTTTGTTACACACAGTGCTAGTGAGGGGATATATGGACACAATACAGGATACAAACTGTGACTCATGTTAACCGAATACAAAGACATTTTTATTTTGTGTTTAAAATTTAAAATGTATGCTCAAATATTCAAAATTTAATCTCAAATAATTAGAGGGAAAGAAAAGAGTCCTATTGAATCATCACTCGGTCCTTATTGCTGAAAAGTGAACCAGAACAGAATCACTCTTTTTTGTTTCAGTCCGTCACATTTTCACTTGTTTGAAAAAGAAATAAAAAATAGTTACTACACTGCTCTGTAGGTTCCAAACAGACTCTGTTAGTAAACCCCGGCAGTGTAATTGAAAGTAGAAAACACAGAATATATATGAGAAAAAAGGTACGACAGGAGTCTCTTGATATACCTGAAAGTTCCCCCAGGAACAAACTAGATTTGATCAGCTCATTTAAGGTACCATTCACTCTGAGAACGCCCATTTTTGAATTGGAGTGTCTCTTCAAAGAAAGGCATACATTTGGGAATGCCATGTGCTTTTCCCCTGCTGTAACATGATACAGGCCCACGTGTGCTGCATTGTGCAACAGTGCTCTCTGACATACCTGCATGTGCTGAATGCTTCTATGTGTTTACAGAGCTGCAGGACGCTGTGGAGGAGGTTTTACCGACACTGAAAGAGCAGGAGATCCGTGTGTTCCTCCTGTCTGAGTCCTGCAGCATCGACGGCATCAGTGCTTTGTCTGACAAGATCTCCCAGGCTTCAGATCAGCCACTGTCCCGGGACCTAAGGGCAAATATCAACATCAGGAGCACGGCTCTGTACATCTACACGTCAGGAACAACAGGTACGCCTGGTAACTCCTCTGACAGATCTACACACAGAAAGCACAAGCCTTCACCAAGTTTCAGTTAATGTGTACAAGCATTTAATCTGACAGCTGATGAACGCCAATGCAGCCCAACACACTGAAATGAATCCTACGTTATGATGGCGATTTTGTATTATTGAGGTGTCGAATCGACTTAACATTTTCAGAGATGGCTCCTTCTTTGTTTACCACATTCGGGATGAGTTATTATTCTTTTTGCTTTCATAAGGTTTGCCTAAGGCAGCTGTTGTCACCCATGAGAGGATCTGGGCTGCCTCCTTCCTGCAGGCAGTGTGTGGAGTCACAGCGGAGGACGTCTTCTACATCAACCTGCCTCTCTACCACAGTGCAGGCTTCCTCATCGGGATGGTCGGAGGCATTGAGAGAGGTAATAATTTACCTCTCTCATGAGCATAAAACAAAACATATCTAGTTAGGGAACTGATGAAGGTGATGTTACAGTATGCACTAAGAGAAATGCTCTGTCGAATGATGCTTGTTTGCAGGTTTGACCATTTTTCTGAGGAGAAAGTTCTCGGCCTCTCAGTTCTGGGACGACTGCAGGAAGTATAATGTGACGGTGATGCAGTACATCGGGGAAACAATGCGCTATCTCTGCAACACACCCCAGGTAGAAGGAGTCCCAACCAACTTTTTGTTGAATGAAGGTTTTGTAATGTTAGAGTATATTGAGCTTTGTGTGTCTGCTTGCAGAAAGACAGTGACAAAAACCATAGTGTAAGGATCGCCATCGGAAATGGAGTTCGCACAGACGTGTGGTCAGATTTTCTAAATCGCTTCGGTGACATCAAAGTCAAAGAGCTGTACGCAGCCACAGAGGGAAACATCGGCTTCATCAATTACACTTCCAAGATCGGTGCTGTGGGAAGAGTCAATTTTGTCCACAGGGTGAGTTCCAGCACATAAGTCAGTCCAGACTAACCAATCTTTTATACATTAACTACTGTGTTGAATGAATCATTACGATGTTTTAAACAGATTCTCTTATTTTATGGAATGAATCCTACTGACTTCAGTGATACTCTGACTTTTCTTCTGGCACCATTTATTGTTTCACATTTGAGCTTTTTAAAGAAATGTCTCAACAACCTTTGGACTGATAACGTTGAAATTTGGTACCAGCGTTTATGTTCCTTCAAGGAAAAAATTAAAATATGTTGGAGATTATGTAAGGTACTACAGCACCACTGACATTAGCATTTAGCTAATATTTCAGCCTATGGGTGTGTAGCATGTTCAACAACAAAGTTTAAAATTTAATTCCCCTTGCAGGGTTAATAAAGTATATCTTCTTCTAAAGCAATACTGTGTCCAACTAAAAGCCTGACAGAGCTGCTAGCATGGCTGTAAGCGCTTAGCTTTGTTAAACTAGCAAAGCTACATTTTGTGAACTGTGGTATGTTAAGTATTGACAAACGAAAACCTTGCCAATTAATGGATGTTTTCTGTTTTCTTTGTAGTTTTTCTTCCCCTACACTTTAATCAAGTTTGATATCGCGAAGGAGGAGCCTGTGAGGAACTCTGAGGGTCTGTGCATCCAAGCAGCCAGAGGTGAGACAATATTACAGGTGGAAACATAACTGTTTATTGCCTTAATTTACACAAAGTTTTTTTTATTGTTTAAAGTGCTAAAACTATTAATCGACAACATCAAACAAGAGTATTAACAAGTTGATAATTTGTCTGGTATAAAATCGATAAAGTAAAAGCTAGCTGTGAAATTTTGCTCCTGCATTTTTATGATTTATGTATCGTACATTTAATTTTAACTTGTATAATCATAATTCTTCTAATTTGAATTCAGTTTAATTCGTTTTTGTTGGTTTAGTTAATACAAGAGCACGTCTAAGGCATCTCCTCTTATTTCTCTTTTTCTCAGGTGAGACGGGACTGTTAGTTGGAAAGGTCACTCAAAGGTCTCCTTTTGTTGGCTACGCTGGAAACAAGCAGCAGACTGAGAAAAAGAGGCTTCGTGACGTGTTGAAAAAAGGCGACCTGTACTTCAACACCGGAGATTTACTTCGGTTTGATCACGACAACTTTGTGTACTTTCAGGATCGTGTTGGTGACACTTTCAGGTAAGCCGGGACAAAGTTTTTTCATTGAAAATATACAGCATTCTCTTTATTGTTGGTATGCCTTTTGAGGCAGTGTTTCTTGACTTAAAATAAGGCACTTGACACTGTCAACCATGGCAACTATTTAAGTTATCATCATTCAATCAAGAAAACAGTTGATTGGTTTGAGGCATATTTTCAGAATAGAGTAGTTTCTGATAATTGACCAAGAAAAATCATCTCTTTCAGATAACAAAATGGGTGTTCCCCAAGGGTCAATTCTTGGCCCTTTGCTATTTAGTCTGTTTATAAATGATTTTCCTAAAACGTGTTCGGGTCTGGATTACTGTTACCAAAATATTGAAGACCGCTTTTTATCTGTTTCCTGTTTTATTATTATGGTCAGACAGACAATAAGTTTTTGTTATCCGATCAAGTTTATTGGTCAATACCATATCAATTAGAGTTCCAGTGTTACTAGTGATTCTTGTTGGTCCTTAAATCATTTGCTTCAGGTTGATGTTAGTGTTGATCTTTAATCTTTGTCTCTGTAATTTTGGACTAAATACTACTATACTTTAGGTTGTGAAGTTGCCAATAAGTTACAGGGGATGACGTGTTGCATTGTGCAGGTGGAAAGGAGAGAATGTCGCCACATCAGAAGTTGCAGATATTCTTACACTGGCTCATTGCATCCTGGAGGCAAATGTGTATGGGGTTCAAGTTGAAGGTAAAGACACTGATGTCAAATATATTACTGCTCAATGTCAACCCTTTTTTACAGCTCTTGTGTTATGAAAGAGGAGTGCATACTTGTTCCTTTGTTTTTTTTCATTATTCATATTTTTTAATTAATTGTCTGCTAAGGTCATGAGGGTCGGATTGGCATGGCAGCTCTCACTTTGAAAGAAGGAGAGGATTTTGACTCTTCAGACATTTACAAACAGGTCATCACCTACCTCCCGGCTTATGCAAGACCTCGATTCATCAGGATCCAGGTAAGAGGAAACTCAGGTTTATTTTTCCACATGCAGCCTTGTAGCACTTAATTGTGACTTACTCTCAAATGTATCCCTTAGATTTATTCAACACTGTGGTTAGTTCAGGTTAAAGTCTTATAGTCTAAGACCTGAGTAGTTGATTGAGATTGAAATTACTTTATAAATGTTCAAAGGAGTTACTTTTGCGACCACCTTTCATCAGTGGTTTGCACTCCCAATAACATGGTGGAGTGTGAGGATTGGCCTTTATAAAAATGTTGCGACCAGGTGCCAGATTGTTAACGTATATCCAAGACCAAGCTACTGGAGAGCTTGAGCCAGGACTTTAAAGAACAAACTTAAAGAAGAAATTCATGTTTTTCAGGGAGGCACCAATTCACCATTTTCTGTACTCTGGTGTGTAATTCCCACTTTTTATAAACTTATTTTCCTCCCTTCAAGAAAAGACAATCTCTGAGCTGATCAAAACATGATGTTCATCTGATGTTCCTTCAGTAATATCATGTGATTTCAGCATTCAAGTTCTGAGAACAGAAACTAGGACTTAAAAAATGTGCCCTGGACTTTACCTCACAGACGACACAAGCGACAATACCAACTTACTGGAGGTTACTTGGGGTTGTTCGCAGCTTGGGACAAGCTCAAAAAAGCAGAACTTACTCAGGGCTCAACAATATCTCGCAACTTCTCTGCACTTTTGGGTAAAAATAATGATTTGGTTTAGTTATTCATCTTTAGATTATCATTCCAAAAAGTGGTTTAAAACCATTTGTTTTTGTTGACTTTTGTCCCATTCACATGAATACCATATGTCAGAAATGCCCTGAGGATATTTCTTCACATGTTGCACAAATTCAACTTTGACAAATAGTTAAACTGATAAGAAATGTTGGTCAAAGGCCAGGGTCACCGTGATCTCACATCCTGACAAATTCACATGGATCTGTGAAGATTATCTCTGAGTGACGACACTTTGTTTTCTCAAATGGAGAACTGAAAATTGACTGGTGATAGGAAATATACACTCACAAGGGAGTTATTCTGATTCATGCTATTTTGTTGAAGAACCTTACAGTCACACTGATATCTCCTGGATATTAAGACATATTTTGATGATTAATTACAAGGTGTTTGCTGTCGATGGTTTGCTGTTATGTTGTCTTCTTCTCTCTTGCCCTCACTGCATGGGACTGACTTGTCATTGTGTTACAAGTTAACAAAAGGTCATGGTGGGTTCTCTGTGGCTTAAAAATTAAGTCAGCTGTCTACAAGTAGGTGCATACATGTTGAAAAAACACAGAAGGACAAAGATGAAGAAACTGATCTGGTTGTGTGATGTCTAGCTTAGTGCTGGAGGCATGTTGTTTCTTTGTTTGTTGCTCTTTTAAAACCAAATTTGGCCCAACATGTTTCTGATATTCACAATCTGTTTCCTAGCCATGTCTGGAGATGACGGGGACGTTCAAGATGAAGAAAGTGAAGCTGGTGGAGGAGGGATTCAACCCAGATCACATCAAAGATCCTTTATACTTTTTAGATCCTGAGAAAAAGATGTATGTTCCCATGACTGAGGAGATCTACAGAGCAATCGCTTCAAGAGAAATAAAACTCTAACACAGAACTCAAAGCCAGTCTTGTTTCACAAGAGGGATCACTCGTTTTCAAAGTAGCAGCTCATTCAAGGAACTATTTTTTTATCTTGTGTTTCTGATGAGAGTGAGATATAACAGCACCAGTTGGTAAGCATTCACCACGACACAATGCAGTGTGTCCGAGTGTCCTCATATTTACTGTCCATTCCCTCTACAGCCCTACGCCCTGCTAATAACAAGAGTAAAGACTAACACACTAACAGGTTAAGACAAACAAATCACCGGCAGGACAAGTATTCCAAATAATATAATAATGAAAACCAAGTCTAGAAACCTTATCCATATTATTTTATATATATATTTTTTCTTTAATGGTTTAATTCCAGGTATTTGTTTAAGGGAAAATTTCACAGATGGAGTAAAAACATGTTTCCCAAATGGATTAATGCATTTCAAAAAGTTTTACTACTTATTATTAATTCTCAGTTTTATATTGGATCTCATTTCAAAATCATCCACAATGTTTAATAAATAGAAACTAAGTTTTAAGATGGGATTCTATTTCTTTTCATTCCATTGGTAGAGTTAATCATTTATAATAATATCCTGTTTTATATGATCTTTGAGAGGGATTTACTTTTCTTTGAATAGATGATCTGAATATTTATGTCCAAGCTTTTTAAAAGCACAGTGAAAAGGAAATATGTGTTTTGTTTGTGTCATTCATAAGAGGCGAGCGGAAAATGTGTTGAAATGAATCATATACCGAATTTATTACAGAATTTTCAGTTTTACTCTATAAATGTGATTACATATTCTGGATCTCTTATATATAGAGTGAAGTCGTCTGCATACAGTGATATTTTGTGTTTATTTCAGGACGGATGAGTCATAATATTAAATGTTTTCTCACATGTACTTAATGACAATGCATAATGAAGCTATGAATTCATTCAAAAATCTGGGATCACATTATTTATTTTTTTCTCATAATAACAAGTGAACTTCTTGAAAAGGCTGAAATTCATGATTCACGGGATTCCAGCATTTTTACTCTGTGAAAACAAGTTAATGAAGTTAAGATCTCGAGAAAACAACTGAAATGTACAGGTCATCACAGGAAAATGAAGTTAAGTTAAATAAAATGTATCGATGCATGTCCGCTTCGGGCTTCCATACAACAAAACCCTCCTATAGGATTTAATTAAGAAATATCTTAAAATAAATGTTTACTGTGGCCATCATTGATAAAATCTCACAGTTAGTTTTGCCACATTCTGCTAACCCTTTTGAAGACTTTTGTTATGAATTAGATTTCATATTGTAAGTATTCTGATTAGATTGTTCTAAATAGAATTAAGCATGTAATTGAAATCCTCACCCATCACTTCAAACCCTTTGACTGTCAAAATAAGAGCAAAGGTGATTGATGCCTACAAATAGATTAAAAACAAACATCTGTTTTGGAACATTTGTAACATTGAACTACTCTCAGGAACAGACTTACTGTGAAACATTGCATCATGTACTGCCTCTGTTGTAGTTTTAATAAATACACTCTGGTTTCTTTTTCCCTTTGACTCTTATTTTATGATTGGACAGGTACACAGTTGAATTTCAATATTTTTTTATGAAAAGGCAAAATTTCGTTTGACCTTTTTCTTTCTCTTCATATTGACAGTGCAGTCAGACTTTAATACAAATGTGGATGACTCGGGTAATTATCTTTAGCTCTCTAGATAGTTCTGTCACATTGTACAACAATTAGTTGGTGTATCAGTGAACTTTTGCTCTGATGTTATGTAAAACAGTCGGCCATCACTTCTTGGGTCTTTTGGGTATGCTGCCCACATTGTGCCCTGTTGTTCATGTAGAAAGCTCCATGTTTGTTCTCACGTTGTCCCATTTGCAAACAAAGACCCTTTCTAGCTCTGGTGGGGGGAATGACCGTGGAAACAATCAATGAGAGATTGACCAACACAGCCTTTGACATGAAGTGATACTCAGACTGTCACCAGCTTGACCACATGAAACACACATGTCAAAGTCAGGAAAAGCTTCTTCAGGAAACCAAGTGGGAGAGTGCTTCACATAAAAACTAAAAAAACATTTTATGTTGAACATTTTGACTTCACCGTATAAATGATGTAGTGAAGGGCTAAAAACATTGTGCTTGGAAATGTTCTCTGTTGTTGCTCAGTTTACCGGGTGTCGGTGGTAAATTATGACTTCTGCACTAGTTTCAAACCAGTCTTGGACCAAAATGAAAGAAAGGTATGATACAAAACTTCAAACCTCGGGCCCACAGGAGGGACATCTTGTATGTTGTTAAAACGCACTAAATAAAATCCCATTTATTAGGATTAAATGATTCTGGGGAAGAAGGTGTGGATGTTATTTTTAAGAGTTTTAAAGCAGGTAACAGACCTTCTGCTTGTTGAAAAAACCTTCAGACACAAATTATTTAGAGCAGAGAAGCTTCATACAACTAGAGTCAGTAACACCTTCAGTCAGTTTATATTTTTTGATTTTCTTCAGGTGTGATGTTGTGAAATGCTTGTTCCCTGTAAGGAATAATGTGAATGTATTAATCAATACATTTTTATTTGGATAGCACCAATTCATAACACATCTTATCTCAAGACTGTGTATTTTATCTTTTTAATGCTGACACCAGGAAGAATAGCTGTTGCAGAAAATTAAGGTCCAAACAAACAAACCCATTGTGTAATAAATCCTACATTCCAGGAAGGTAGCATTTTCAGTTTGAAGTGTTTTACTGCATAGAGTTGGCAGTTTTTGGTGTTTTCCTATTTTTTGACGTGTATTATTTTGTCCATGCGACGAATCCATTACGATTGGCCCACTGCAAACATCAGTCTCCCAAATGAATACAAAGTTGAATCAACAACTTTCTCAAACTGTTTCATCACAAACTGAACTCAAGCACGAGGACTTATTGCAGGACTGATGTAATAGATCACTTTAGTTTAGTTGGCTCTATCTTACAATTTAGCCATCGAGTGCATGATGTGAAACGTGTGAAAAGAGGCTCTCTGTATTTAATAAGAAGAGCTTAATTAAGATTCAGTACAGAAAGGGAACAAATACAAAGTCAGATTAAGAAAAAGGACAGCAGGAACTTCACGTCAACAGAGCATGGAGTAAAGTTTCTGTAATCGAACACAGGATGCAAACCTTTAAATGAAAACTGCCTGCCCTGATTTAACGTTTGTGTGTGCAGAATAATCCCGCCGACAGCTCACTTTTTCCATGTGGGATAGATTGGGAAGCAGCTGTGGAAGACTGAAAATGTAAATCAAGCTTTCTGACGATACAATCGCCAACTTCTGAAACCCACGAGTGAATTCTTTGAGCTGATGTCTGGGTGTGTCGATACGCAAAACATCTGGAGGTTTAGCTCAACACAACACACTGGGCCAAGCAGCAGTTACTTTAAAAATGAATTTATTTATTAATACAGTGGTATACTTAGAAATGTGTTGCAAAGGAAAGATACACAGTTGAACCAAAGAAAACAAATCAAATAAATAAAAAGAATGCCAGCCACACAGGAAAGTAAACTAGTGTTGGGTTGAAGCAGTGTTATCATATCAAAAGAAAATAGTACTGATGTGCCATAATAAATTGTCTATTAGTACAAAAATACATTTCAGGGCACACAATACAGCATCCAGTATCACAAATAAAGGAAGGGCCCACTCTTCACAGCAGACCCCCTCAATTACATCTTTTAAAATTATTTAAACCAAGCACTTCTCTAGTTTGTAAATAAGAATAAAAAGTTGTCTGACCTTAAGTAAAAATGCCTTAAGTAGTGTGTGTATACGTTGGTAGAAAAGTCGGACTTATTACTGCTTATGTCAGTTCCAAGGCTCAGGGGTATAACCAGAATACAAACATAACCAATGTAACCGCTTTCTCTTTTTTAAACAAACATTTTCTCTTTTATACAAAATAACAAAGATGTACAAAAGGTCATTTACAGAGAACCAAGGCCATAAACTAGCAATATGTACAGCCACATTTTTAAACATCTTCTAGCTTTTTTGTATTTCCTCAGACTTCATATGCATAGCAGTTAAAAGAAAGCATACCTTTTCATCAGCCTCGATTATTCTCGTGTGCTAAATCCTAGTTCACCGTTTATGAGAAAAATGCAGAGACGACATTTTCATCCGTAGTGATCGCTAGAACTGAAGGATCCGATGTTTTTAAAGTTTCACTGAAAAGTTAATATGCAGATAAGGCATCACTGCTTGCAGTGTACGATGGGATTTTCATGTGTTGAACTTAGTAGTAGCAGGCTTCTGGACCTGAGTCATAGCACATGCATAGATCTCTAGACAGCAGGAGTTTGTAAAATCAAGTCAGTATATTTATCTACAGTAAAACATTGCTACAAAAACTTCAGTTTTAAAGAGAGAGCCCCGCCAGAACAAACGGTGGCCTCATTAATACTTAACCTTCATTATTCATCTTATTTTTCATCTTAACGTCTTCCTTCATGAGCCTCAGCACGTCCTTCATGAGTGAAACGCATGACCACACAACTCACAAACTCAAGTTTTGCATATACCAACTTTGTCGTTTGTGAGTCTCATTTTTTATTTATCTCTTTTTTTTTTTTTTACAGTACGCAAAAATCCCATTGCAATATTAAAGAAGTTTTAAAATTCTACTTTGTCCTCACAATGCTCTGACCTTTTATAAAATGAGCTTAAAAATGTCAAAATGAGAGTATTCAGTCTGTGGCACTGGTCATGCATTCCAACTTCAGTTCCTTTGTTTAAATAACTTGTTTAAATCTTTATTTTTTGCAAGCCTTGAAAGCACCAAAAAAAAGAAAAAGAAAAAACAAGAGTGCAGCCTTGGGGATGCTGGACTCCTCTGACTCTCCTTTTGTGTGTGTTTGTGTGATTTGTTTTTCTTCTTTTTTTTATTAGTAGATTTTTGGGCACAGTAAACAACGTGAGAGTATCAAGTTCATACTTCATCGAGCATTGTGCACCTCGCCCAGTGGAGGGAGCACGCCAGGGGCGACTGAGGGGCCCCCCCCTGCGTATCACATTCAGTAACAGGCCAGCTGTTGCCCTCTTCAGAAATGGTCAATGAGCACTGACACACAGTTTGCACCCACCAGGTAGTTTGGGTCTCCAGGGAGAGATTTGTTCTGCCAGGTTTTGGGATCACCTACAGGAAAGAGAGACATGATGTGAGCTGCTGGAACATCGTTCTCTTTAAAGAAGCAGAAACACAGTGGACACATCAAGGTCTCGTTTAGAAAACATTGAATTACATCTCATGATTTAAGGTTTTAATTACTAATTAAATGGATCCCTGATTTAATGAGTCATAACGTACAGTAAGTTCTAGCATTAGTATGTATATGCCAATCCAATGAAAGGTTAGGAAAGGAAAATAATAAAATCAAAGAGCCATAATTATCCATCATGCATGACATCAGCATGTTTGTTAAGCACACTTTAAAATGTCGCCTCATGTCACAGGTTCACTTCATAAATCAAAGTACTGATCACAGTGCAATGACAGAAGAAGCAGGAAATGGTCGGACTTTTTAAATCCATTCATAAAGAAGAGTTTTAAAAAAGAAGAAATAGTTTAGTACTGAGAATAAACGATGTGCTTTTATAAAACGATGATGCTGTTGAAAATAAATAATTGAAAATATAAGCAATATTAAAGGCCATTCAACCTGAAGTTGATTTTATTCCTTTATGGTATTTATTTGTATCAAGTAATCTATTCCCCCATAAAAGGTCAGAAAATGCTAAAAAGAGATCTTAAAATATATTTTGTCAAACTAACAGTCACAAGCCTCATTTATTCAGTTCATTATCTCAGGAAAAACAGAAGCAGCAATAATTGGGGACAAAGGATGCCAACGTTTTTTCAGAAAAAGACAATTAATTACAGAAAAAAGTTTTTTTTTTTTCTGTGTTTGACAATCAGTTAGCCAATTGTCTGAATGTTTGAGCCGCAGTCGCTTTGTTTTTCTTTTGTAAAAGCCCAATATTTGAACAAATCCAGCTGCACAGCTCAGTTAAAGCATGAAAAGAACACATGCATGAAGAAGAAACGGGGGGAATATGGAGACTGATGAGCTGACTCAAATGATTCAGACACCAAAACACTCTCCTCTCACCAAAGCCCACAGACCCCAAAGGACAGAGAGAGGACAGCGTACCCGACGAGGAGTCGGAGGATTTTAGAGCAAAAGACCAACCATCAGGGGTCATAGACGCACAGTGAGGTAAGCGCAGCTCCACCGGCTTCAGGAACTTGAGTCCGTGAGGGCCACACATCACCAGCGGACTTAGCAGCGTTTCTCCTGCACGAATGCAAAAACAGGATTTAAATTCCACAAAATGAAACGTCTGGAGGTTAATCAGCACACAGGATTATCCGTCAGCCAATCAGGAGGCAGAATGAAGTCGACTGCCAGACTTAAACAGTGAAGGAGACCTCCTAACTGAGTTGCCATGTTTACTGCACTCCACTGGAGGGTTGATATTAACTTCAAATAAAAAA